ATCTACTTCAGGGGGACTAGAAACCCTAAACCTCAAATAGCAGTTTCCATGTTCTTTTCCATTATCCCTATATATTCCCTATATAACCCCAATACATACCCTATATAACCCATTATAGTAGTTTCTATCTTATTAACCCTAAGTACCTTGGCAGCAACCCAGGTTGCAGGCAGATGCACTTGAAGCCAGCACCTGTGGATCAAGCTGTGCAGGCCACCGCCTGCACTCTGCTTAGTAGGAAATTAGGATCTAGGGGTTAGGGTTTAGGGGTTTAGGATTTAGGGGTTTAGGGTGTAGGGGTTTAGGGTTTAGGTGTAGGCGGAATTATGGAATGGAACAGAAAATGGAAAGTACTGTATTTATGGGGTCATGTTATGTAGGTTTATGTAGGCATTATGTAGGGATCATATCTGTATCATATGGGTTCATATAGGTATTATGTAGGCATCATATGTTACATTCTTAGGGTTTATGTGTAGACCACTGAAAGGATCCCTTTGCTTACCAGAGGCTATTGATGTAAGAGGCACCGGGTGTAATCATGTGAGCAGCAGGCAAAGAGTAGTTAGTGAGGTTGTCAACACCGTGGTCCCGTTTTGAGTAGCCTAGTTATCGGTGGCCATATTCTGATTATTGCAGCGGGTCACAACGGGGCCATAGTTTTGACAACTTACCAGGTGATTGGCGAGTGAGAGAGTTAGAGAAAGTGAGGGGAGAGAGAGAGAGAGAGAGAGGGCGAGGGACGAGGGAGGGGAGGGAGGGACGGGGAGAGAGAGAGAGAGAGTGAGAGACCTCACACAGAACGACTGACAAAAGAGGTTCTGTGGGACAAAGGCGCGGGAGCGGAGGAGGGCGTGTGAAATGGCAATCTTGCAGGCTGCCCCGAGAGACAAAGCAGGAGCAGCAGCAGCGAGAGGCGAATACATGAACAAGACATAATGAGGCAATGTAGTACTATAGCAGTGAAACGATAGCAAACGCATACCCAAATTTCACAATGTTTGTTTAGCAAAATGAAAACTTATACTATCTCTTCGGATGGCCTATAGGAGAAGCGAAAGCAGAATTAGGACAAGAAACAGAGAAAGTAGTCTGAGAGCTCCCTAAACCCTAAACCCTGCAGTGTGAAGGATAAGTTTCTTGATGCATGTCATCGGGCTCATGACGGAGAGCTGCAGCCCGCACTTCATGGCACAAACGAATCCAACCTGACGTCCATCTATTCCCGCGGATTGCTGATCCCTGGCAGTGACAGCGGGGTGAAGGTTGCCAATGGGTCCGTTCATGGAGTGGGCATCTACACGGCCTACGTTGAAAGCGCCTCCCTATCCTGGTCCTACGCACGCGGCGAGCGTAGGCCCATCCTAGTCTGCGGGGTGCTTGACCCCAGGAAGAACGCAAAATCCTACCACGCGAAGGATGAAGTGACCTACACATGCAGTGCACGGATCTTCTTCAGCGAGAAGCGCGTTGCACCTCTCTTCGAGGCGTCTCGAGGCAGTTTGGCAGCTGAGAGACCACCTCTAGCACCACCACCTCTCAAGCCAAAGACCATTCGTCCCGAGTGGGTGGTGGTGAAGAAGCCCAAAGGCCCCGGGCCGCGGACACGGCCAAGGAGAGCAGCTACAAATCTTCGCTCGGCGCTGAGGTTTCTCACCCGGCGCGCTGCGCGCAAGAGGCAAGCTTGAGCTCTTCGATTGTACAGTGTACAGCCTCCAGCATGGCCGTATCACCGCTGCATGTAAGCAGGGGCAACTTTAGTTTTGACTTAGTTAACATGCTTTCTACTCCCAGACAGGATGCCAAGATTGCAAGCATCCGAGTGTGTACAGAGTCCATTGTTTCTTCAGCAAGGTTTGACAGGGGAGCAAATTGATCAAAGTGACAGCGGCATAGCGTTTGGAAGTCTCTGCTACAGGAACGTAAGTCGCATTACCATCATGTGGTGGTAATACTGCAGCGGCCTAAACAATTGGAAAGATCATGTTTAGCTTTATGTGAGGTACCTGAAAACATAGACAACAATGATGGCATTATGGTTTCTACATTGATTCCCGGGATTCGCATGCTTGTTCGACAATGCTGCTGCCTACAATTATGGGGGCTGCTGTTATGAACCTTTACATAGGTTACCATGACAAGGAAGCCACATGAGTGTACTCATATAACATCCATATTGTGGTAACTTCTTCCACGCTACTTCACAGCATCCCCGACGAAAGGCTCCAGGTAGCTATATGGTATATACTTGGACCTTAAAGTGGGTATATTGAAACCCCTTTGGGCCCAAAATATATACCATATACCTACATCCCTAAACCCGAACCCCAACCCTTAATGGATCCTTTGGGCAGTAGCGCAGTCGTTTCCAGCCCGAGCTTGGCATTGTTAAGTCCCGTGTGCTGAGAGAAGTATCGCCATGGATCTGCTGGAAGACTTTGACAACGACCCTCCATTGCGTGGCTGGTCCATGAAGCTAGGATGCTGCTCAGAAACCTAAACCAAGTCACCATAACATGGATATGTTTAGGTTTATATACAGAGATATATAGGGTGGATAATGTACGCTGCTTCCTTTGCAGGGTATCTTAGCTCAAGTTTGGCGCTTTTTGCAACCCAGGAAGCGCGGCCACCGCAAGCGCTTGGAAGCAGCACGCTGCCGGAAAGGGCGTGACAAGGATGTGCTTCTGCAGCAGAAGCAGCGCTTTTGTTGTAGGTTCAAGCTGTTGGCCGCCATATTCTGCAAGGTGTAGTGGATTCCTTGTGTCTTCTTGAAGGTGGAGGTCCAACCAGAAACAACTTAGAAACGGACCAGCTTGAATGTCCTCTCTTACCTCCCTATAATCCCCATATAACTCTAAGGCCCCCCTCTTTCAGAAGCTTCCACATCAACCAGTGGCAGCCCTGGCATTCCCGCATACAGAAGAATCAGAAGAGCACCCATAAGATTTGGTTGGATACAAACTTCTAGTCATAAAAACGGAAGTAATAGTAAGAGTACTTGAAATAGTAAGAGATAGTAAAAGTAATAGAAATATATTCACAGTAATAGTAACAACAATAGGAATAGTCATAGTAGTAATGATGTAATGTTTGCACTTGATAAGGTCTTATGCTTGACTGCTATAGGCTGGGCACAGAAACCAACCTTTATTTGCACGCCTTCCCGAAGCTCACGTGCTAAAGGGCGGATATCTTGACATGACACATAGCGTGACCCTTCCGGAGTAGATCTCCTTTCTGCACATTCGCTTAGGTTGGACTTGGCCGCTCAGTGGTCAAGCGCAGTGTCCACTCCGGCACTCGCAGATGGGGTGATCCAGACTACTGGGGCAAGTATGGAAGTGACTACCTGCCGCAGACCCGCAGGAACAACTTGAGACGCCGCATGTATGAAGAGGTCTTTGAGGTCGAGGAGATGCTGACAGAGTGCGATTGCCTGACCGATGAGGAGCATGAAGATGTCCCTGCCCTGACTCTGGAATGCTGGCTGGATGTGGAGATGCAGAAGTTGGATGACCTCGAGGTCGCATCCACATGCACGTCCACAACGGCTGATGTCGACTACGCATCCACCGTCTCCGACTTTCTGTCCTGCTCTGAGGCCTCCGCTGCCCCTTGCGTCGCGGATGTCCCGCCCCTCTTGTGGCAGGCAGCGCTGATCCGCGCAGAGCTCAGCGCCATCCAATACCGACTTCGAGAAGACACCAAGACGGTGCCCGATCTCAAGACGGAAAAGCTCGAAGAGAAGCCAAAGAGCGAGGATGAGAAGTTCTTTGATGAGTTGGCCCGTACACATCAGGTTCATGTCGAATATGATGAAAAGAGTCTGTCAGACTCAGCATCTCGCTTCGAGAAGATGCGGTGGCAATTCTTGAAAGAATTTGGGCACTCCATCTGTAGACCTGTTGCAGAAGGCTATGGAACCACATGGACCCTGAAGCCTACGCCGCTCAACGAGAGCGTACAGCAGAAATTTCTGGATGCATGCAGTTGTTCGGAGAAGGAGGAGCTGCAACCAGCGCCTGGGCCAGTTACTCAGGGGCTGGAGAGATAATGGAAAAGAACATGGAAACTACTATAATACATGAGCTATAGTCTAAACTGCTTAAAGGGGGATACATAGGGGATTATAAAGGGGAGCATTATATGGATCATTAAGGGGGATACTCGGAGTTTAGACTATAGCTCATATAGGGTTATATAGGGGTTATATAGGGGGGCACCCTGGGCAGGAGCCTCCTTCGAAGAACCCGTTTTCCAAAGTTTCCTTGCACAAGGGACCTAACTCAGAGCTTCTGTTTTTTTCAGTGGTCTCTCTAAGCTTACCCCCCAAGCTGGCTGGGATAGCTCAAAGGAGAGTTTCTCAAAATTACCCCTACAATCCTGAAGAGAGAAGCCCATAACATCTCCGCATGGCCACCAGCTATGTTTAGGGTTTCTAGGGGCACCATCAAATTACGGCCACAAGGAAACGCGCGCTTTCTTAGAGATCTTATGTTCTGCTGTTTAGCTAGGACCCCAATAATCTAGTAGGCAATCTGGTAGGGATAGACGGGCCCCCGTAGGAATAGTTCCATCATAGTATCAAATTCCTAGTGGTTCTTCGGGTTCCTTGTTGTGGGTTTGGGGTTTATAGTGGTTTAGGGGTTTCGGGTTTATTTACTGTTGGAGTTGACTTCCCAAAGAACATCCAAGGCACTGCATGGCACAAGCCAGGCGAACCTTTCCTCCATTTATGCTCGAGGCATGGTTCCCCAAAATTCAGGTTTAGGGCTTAGGGTTTAGGGCTTAGGGTTTAGGGTTTAGGTTTTAGGGCTTAGGGTTTTTAGGAATAATGGAGAAACAAATGAAAAATGGAACATACAATGGAAACAGGGATTCTGTAGGGATATTCAGGGGATTTGCAGGTTTCCTGAAATACGGGGTTCCGTTTTGGAGTCCCCATCAAGAAGATGATAGTAGATGAGGGTCCCCCTGTCTATGGAAATTATCACATAACCCCAGTTTCCAAAGAGGCCTACTTATTCCTGGCAAGCAGAATGGCATCAAGGTTGTTCATGGGGCCGTGCATGGAGTGGGCATCTACACTGCTTATGTTCACCATGCAAGCCTATCTTTCGGATACTCGTCTGGCAGCTTGAGACCCCTGCTAGTGTGTGGTGTGCTTGACAAGAAGAAGGGAGACAGCTTCACTGGCTGGGCGGGAGATGTGGCCTATGTTGACCGCGCCCGCATTTTCTTCAAGGAAGAGTTGGTGGCACCCCTGTTCGAGGCAACGGCTTCGTGCAGTGCAGCTATTGGTGCTACGGTTGTTCCATCTCGCCCTCCAGCACCGGGGCCCATCAAGCGAAAGACCATTCGCCCCGAGTGGGTGGTGGTGAAGAAGCCCAAGGGACCCGGGCCGCGGACACGGCTAAGGAGAGCAGCTACTAACCTGCACTCTGCGCTGAGGTTTCTCACCCGGCGCGCAGCGCGCAAGCGGCAAGCATGAGCGCTGTGAATGTACAGTGTACAGCTTCCTGCAATTTACATTGCTATTTTAGTGTTATTCTGAGGCCGGATGCCCGAATTCTGAACATCCGGTATGATGTACAGTAAGTCAACATAATCACCATGCGACCCATGCAGCCATCAGTCCATCAGGCCTTATGGAGCAGTGGGCGTGGCATGTGCAGCTCATGACTATAATCTCAGACAACTTTGAGTTCCTGCCGCAGGACGTTGAAGGTCATGTTTGTGGGTCGCGGGCGTGCAGGCTGCGGTAAGCTGGGAACTGCACCAGTCTGACAGTCTGATCATTAGAGTGATGTCTTCTTGCCTGCGCAGATTGAAGTGCAAGACTCAAACCGATGTCAGGATTTCATGTGCTGTTGTGAAGCCCGTGTGTCAGTAGCACAACACTTGCAGGTAAGACTTCGACACTGAAGTCGCTATGCAACGAGGCCTTTTGGGCAAGTTACGACAGCGAAGTGTGGCATTGTCTCACTGTCAGACCCCTGATAGGCTCCAACAAATCGAACACCCTAATAATCCCCTATAGTTTCCCCAATGTAGTAATGGGTTCATATGGGGGGGGGGGTTCCATTTTTTGGATCCTTGAGGGGGTCTGGGGTGTCATAAGATCAATCCGTTATGGCAACATCGAGACATGGCCATGTGGCAGGAAGATTGTCATAGCGCCATACAGAGTAGGTTTTTGTTGGTGCTGGGTTTTGGTGAGAGTATATGGGGTTGCTTAGGCATGCTTCTGAGAGTATATCTATATACACACACATATATATATATATGTTGTTCCTCTCCTTAAGTCCCTAAAGTCCTAGGAATTGCAGTAGTCTAGGGCCCCTAGGTGGTGCAAGATTTCATCCATCAACAGTATGAGTCGATGAATACAATGTACTCACACGAAATGTTGAGCGACGCTGAGCTTCCTTGTAAGATTCTTGATCGGCACGTACTTTTGCGAGGTGCCATAAAACAGCGGCTACAGTAGTTACCCAGTTTAGCAAGAACCCTAGACCCTTTACTACCTTAAATCAGTAGTTACAAGGTTTGGGAAGAGGCCTAGATCCTGAATCCGAGCCCTAAACCGTGAACCCGAACTTCGGAACCCTACCTAGTCCACCAGTAGGTAAAGTAAGACTGCAAAATCCTTAAACTAGTCCGAAAGCCCAGTATTCTACATACTTCGGGGGTTCATGTAAGCCCTATAAACCGAAACCCGAAGCTTAAACCCTAAACCCTAAACCTAATATTCGGTAGCGCACTGTTCGTTTGAAGAGGCCTTCGATGCCTCCGAAGCATCCACGCACGGAGTCGCTGGGGCGGTCTGTACCACGGAGCCCTGGGTCCAGGGTTTAGGGTTTAGGGTTTAGGGTTTACAGAAGTATCATACCCTTGGGTTCCAGTTACCTAAATAGTAGGTTACTGGGCTATGTAACTATAGGGTATATAGAACCCAGTTCCCATTTTTTAGGTAACTGGAGCCCTAGGGATAGGGAACGTGTCCGGAGTTTTGAGCGACTTTTGGGCGTGGTTCGGCCGCTTTTTTCGTTTGCTTTTGGCTGTTTTATCCTGGGCTTGAGGGTTTAGGGTTCAGGGTTATGTGTCTGCTGCCTGGGTTGGGGATTTAGGACTGAGGGGGCCAGGGTATATGCGAAGACACAGGCCTTCCAAAAAAATAGATCTTTCGGGGAACCTTCTATGCGGAAGCTCCAGACGTCGAGAGAACACTGGGTTCCAGAAAGCCTAATCCCTGAACTCCACACCCTTAACCCAGACCCCCAAAAGGATCCAACAAATGGACCCCTCCCCACAACATGAACCTTTTACTACAGTGGGGAAACTAGGGGATTATTAGGGTGTTCCATTTTTTGGATCCTTTAGGGTGTCTGGGAACCGGGTGGCCAGGAGCTCAAGGACAAGGACGACTAGCATTGTTCCCCCTTTGTTTGAGCTATGCCCTCTTGATTCGAAGGGTTTCCCAAGTCACTCAGGGCAACATGGGTTCCGCAAAGCACTAGACACATTGAATCCTTCCTAGATCTTAAGAACTCTTGAATTCTAAGTCCAAAGCCCTGAAACCCTTTACTCCCATGTAGTCATGTCCAGGAGCGCCGCTTCGAAACAACTCAGTCGCCGCGGCGAGGAAGCGAATGGCGGCGCATGAGGCCTTTGAAGAGGGCTAACTGCTGCGTTCCTTCTTAATTCAGGAATGCAGCTCGTAGGGCTTGCTGGTTCAGGATATGTTTGTAAGGAACACATGACCGCGGGCTTAGGGCCGAGGGTTTGAAGCTGAGGGTTTAGGCTTAGGATCTCTGGGAAGGAGCCTTCCCCAGCTTACTCTTGTTAGCATGGAAGTCCCCATGCCTCAAGTCCTAGACCCTGCAATGCTACATAAACCATAAACTATAGTCTAAATTCCATGAAGGGGGTTACATAGGGAAGTCTTATAGGGGTAATCAAGGGGATACTAGGAGAGTAGACTGAAGCTCTCTTAAACTCTATGCCTCAACTTGGAACTTGAAACAGCGGACCCTGAACCCTAAAGCCTAAACCCTAAACGAAAAACGCACATCTCGGGCATATAGGCGCTTTCCAACTTCTGACTTCGACACAGTGGTGGCCCGACATGTAGCAGCTGCCCTGCGGCGCGACAACTCGCCCGAGGAGCTGCGCCTGTTGGGAATCGCCACATCTTTGGCGTTAAATGCGCATGAGCAATGATGATGTGATTCACCATGATGTTGTATGGTTTGATCTGACGTGTGATATGTGAAGGTATGATAACGGAGGAAATGGTTGTTGATGGCAATCATGACAACCACATAGAGGTATACCTCGTTACCATGACTTATATTTATTGGCTTCCGGTTGCGATTGAATGCTTTGGTCGCATTCGGATCCGCATGGTTCTTATCATTGGTGTTTTAGATCATCGTTTGGTAGCTGTGCTTGCCATGATTGTTGATTATCGAAGAGTGTGAGCATCATCGACCTTTGTAATCGTACCACAACAGCTAGTGCTGCTACTACTGCACGTTCTCGGAATTACTTCAACTAGCAACTGTTATAGCTTCTGCACCAGCATGCACGAGTGACCTGAAACGTACCGGCTTCTGTGGCATGAGTTTCAGCGGCTTTGCCAAGCAGAGTGTGTGGTTTTTCCAATTAGGGCCTGGCGGCAGGTGCCGACCTGGCCGCTGCCCCCCTTGCCCACCCAGCTATCATGTGAAAGCCAGGCCCACCCCAGCCCCGCTGATACTCATGATTGAGAAAAGTGCACGAACAAGTTATGTTCTTGTTACCTGGGATGTTTTTTTAGGTTTTGAAGACCCTGTTCGCTCTAGTTTAGCTGAAAGCGGCCCAAGATGGGGCCCCAATTGTGCTGATGATGTTCCTGTACGAGGCGCCGCGCGCGCCTCGTAAAGGAACATCAGCTGCACAATTGGGACCCCAATTTGGCTTGATTGAGACCGGGAGCGGTCAAAAACCCAAGGAAAGCCATCAAAGATGACTTTAAACATGGTTGTCTGTGCAGGCTGTCCATGTTCTAAGCCCACAAGTGCATTTTTTGAGCAAATCTGCTGCCAATAGCAGCCACATTTCACACATTGGACAAGCTTTGGAGCCACAAAAGTGCTGGACATATGGGCAAAACGCACCCCAAGACCATGCAACATGCACATTTTATGGGGTTTGGCCTGAGCAATGCACGCCAAACCTGTCTCATGCTTGTCGTACAGTGCAGATCCTACCAGCACTAGTATTTTCAGCCACAAACACTGCCCACAGCGTTTATTTTGAGCGTTTTGTTGGGGTTTATAGCGCTTTTTCAGCGCCCTGCAGCGCCCCAAGAGGCAGCATCATGAGCATCATGGGGCCTGTTTGGGCCCCCAATTTCCTTCTTGACACCACACATATGAGACTTCAAGACCCCTCCAAAACTCTAAGTATGTTGAGGTGCCCAAAGGTCAGAAACGAAGGCCCAATTGTGCTGATGATAAAATCCTTGATCCCTCAGCCCTTTCCCCTGCCCCCAAGATGTACCCTAGGCCCTAAACCCCAAACCTTGAGAACCCATACCCAGCCCTATTTGTGAAGATCCCTGGGGCTACAGGACGCAGAGCCCGATGCTGAGGCAGATTTGGGGCTTCGGATTCAGGATGTATAGGGTTTTGGGTTTTGGGTACACTCCTTAAATGAGGCTATATGAGCCGGTTTCAAAATTACCGTTGTTGTAGGGCAGTAAGAGTGGTTGTTCAATGAGTAGAAAGATGTTTAAAGTTAGGGCCTATGATAGAATCAAGCCCAATTACAGCATAGTACACGGCTTAGGGATGTTTAGGGTTTAGGGCATTGTGGTCTAGGGGTTCACAAGTTCTAGGGCCGGAAGAGTTTCATATTCAGGGTGTGGACGCTGCTTGCTTGTAAAGACTATGTGTTAGGTTTTTTTTTTTTTTGTTTCCGTCCTGTTGCCCAGCAGAAATTCACTGTTTCGGGAACGGTTTTGGTTAAGGGGAAGTCGTTGGGACTTGCTGCTGGTTTGAGGCTTTAGGGTCTTTGTGTCAGCACACCCTGGGTGAGCATTTCAACTGATTCAGAAATAGAGAAGAAGATACAACAATTTACGTAGTAGCAATGTTTTTTCCATTAGCTTCCAAAGTTAGTAGGGTCTAGGGTTTCATGGTCACTGACTGCGCTGTCCGAGCCCTTTAATAAAAACAGATCCTGCTGAGAAAATGTTACACTTATTCTGGGGGAGGGTGTTACCAAAACACTTCGGCTGAAGTTTTTCCTGAAGGGGTCCGGAATTGGGACCATGTTTCCAAATAAGGTCTCAAGAGGTCATCCGCACATATTTGAATATACATATTATATACATATGTACAGATGTATTTTAATATATATATATATCCTATTAAACCCATGCGCTACGTGCTACACGCCCCTTCTTGGAGGTTCACAGGGGCATGACCGGCGACAAGCGAGTTT